CCACAAAAAAAAAAAAAAAAAAAAAAAAAAAAAATGTAACAAAATCAATATTTTAATTAAAGGTAGATAAATCAGCTCATATGCTTCTCTATCATATATTAGGACATTTGGCTTTTCATTCTAGATTAACTGTATACCTAACCTAAGTTTCTTTACATGTTGTAGATTGATAAATGTATAGACTCCTCTCTTATTTTATCAGAAAAGAATATTATTACCACTTACCTTAGCACCAGAAACCTAAGGTAAAATTTATATTGAAAAATCCTACTATATATAAATAAATTACATCTAAAAAAGGAAATGTTACATTAAGTTATTATGACTTTTTTTCTTTTTAGATCAATTAACCAATAGGATCGCTGGTAAAATTACTAGTAAATTTAAAATTTTTCCTGAAGACCATAAACAGATCTTAAAGGAATATAAAATTTTGACTATAAATTTTCAGCTAATTTAAATTTTAAATAATTTATTTTAAACTATTTAACTAAAAATAAGTTCTTATTTAGTTTTAAATCTTTATTTAACTTTTTTTTATTTTTTTTTATTTTTTATATTTATATATTTTCTATTAATTTTATATATATATATTTTATAGTATAAGATTTATACCACTAGTATTTTAATTTATAGTAGTTGTTAGAACTATAAATTTGATCAAAATTAGAATAAATTTTTAAATTAATAATATCTTAATATTTTAAAATGCTTTAAGTTCTTTTTATCAAAATTTTTATCATTATAATCAATATTTTTTTCAAAAATATTTATTAACAACAAGTAAATTCCATGTAAATTGCAATTTTTTTAGTTGCTATTACTTCTTTATATATAATTTTTAATATTTATTTATATATTTAATTATTAAATTTTTTTTTTTATAAAAAATTTTTGCTAAAACTATTATTTATCCCTTAAACTGTTTTGCGGGCAAATTTGCCTGCAATTTCTAAATTAGAATAAATGATGCTATAAAAAATTCTTTAATTTTGGCCAGATCGTCACATAATTTTGCAGCCAAATTGATCTACATTCTGGCCATAAATTGTATGAGTTAGATATACAGTTGATCATTAAAATTGGATTAGAAATTAACCCGCAAAAATAGTATTTTAATTTTTATATAATAAAATTTAAACTTTTCTTACCATATTTTTTCTCTATTTGAATATTTATTATAACTTTTTATTTTTATTATAAAAATTTTGCATTATAATAAACAAAATAGAGATAAAAAAAAATCAATTATTATGAATATATAATTAAAATGCATAATAAAATTTTCATTAAGGTTCTATATAAAGTCAAAATCCTACTTTTAAATATCAAATATCATATTAACAAAAGTCTTTTCTCTTATCAAATTCTACATATTCTATTAAGCTTTTATATAGCTACAATTAATTATCAATGAAATCGTCAAAGTTAAGTGCAAAGTTTTTTAAAATTTTGTGATTATCTTAAAATACAACTTTTAACCAATGGGTAATTTTTGATTTTCTAATATATAATTAATAAATGATAATAATTGCTGCACAATATATAATTTAAACTATCTTAGAAAAAAATTTTATTAAAATTGCTTTATTTTTCATAAAATTAGATGAGAGCTGAAATTTGGTAAAATTGCGGGCAAATTTGCCCGCAATTGCTTACAGTTTAAGGGATATTTAATTTTTTTTTCTATAAATTATCAAATAAAAATATTAAGTTTTTATTCAAATCAAAGTACACTCAGACATCTATATAGTCATCTAATCAATTCTGTAAAAATCAGTGATTATATAAAGGCTTTTACTATAATATGATTATATAAAAATTTTTTTATATAATAATTATATATATTGGTATTTTCTAAAAGTGTAATTATATAAAGGAATTTTATATGATATGACTATATGAAGTGTAATTATATAGGAGTTTGACTGTATTAGCTATTATTTTTATAGACTTATTATATTAAAAAGATATTTTTAAATATCATTATCATTTATAAAATTTCTATACATATGATAAATTTTAAAATAATAAGATATTTATTAGAATTATCACATTTTAGAATATTTTATTTATTATAATATTGAATTAAAGTAGATGTAAAATTATAATTATAATTAATTTTTATTATAAGAGTAAATTTATTCATCGCACGTGCGATGCATCGCCACTTTCCTTTTTTGTAAATTATTTATGTTGATCAACCTGCTTATACATCGCCACCCCCTTAAAATGGCAATGATAAACATAAAAATTTGCATCATACGTGCGATAAATAAATTATTTCTTATTATAATATATGATTATATTTTATTATAATTACAATTTGAATAATCATTAAAATACTAATAAACTTTTAAAATTAAACCAAATTTTAAATCCAATTTATTATTATTTTTGAAGTTTAAGAATATTTTATATATTAATTAAATTGTTAGATTCTTTTAAAAATAACTATTAACTATTACTCTAATGGTAATAGATTTTTACTAAAAAGTTGCTTCTTTTAAAGTTTAAATAACTTTAAATAAATAAAATATTTTATTAATTTTTACAGATTACAAGAATTAAATTAGATAAAATAGTAAAAACATATTATTTTTATTTAAATATCTATCTTGATAAAAGATTGCAAATATCTTTTAACATTAAACTTTAATAAAATCTAATATATTAAAAGTTTAAAAATTCTTCTTAGATATAAAATTTATATAATTTTTAAATTTGATAATATATTACTAGATTGCTTCAAATAAAAAATTAACTAAAATTCATTTAAATATAAAAAATAAGTACTTAATTACTAGTCTATATAAATAATAAACTAATTAAAAATCTGATTTTACTTAATAATCTAAAAATAAATATTTTATATATATTTAGAATATATAATTTAAGGTAATAGTGTAATGCAAATCATTTTAAAGTATTAAAATTTATTTTTGTAAAATTATTTAATTTAAAAAACTGAAAAAATGAAAAAAATAGCAAAAAATAGCTTAGAAAAAAAAAAAAAAAAAAAAAAATTGTAAAAAATTAATAATTGTTTAAAATTAAAAGTTTTTACAGATTTTGAAATCATTAATTAAATATAAAAAAAATTCATATTTTTTTAATTAATTTTTCTTTAAAAAATATATTAATATCTATATAAAAGTATGTAAATATAAAATTTAAGACTTTTAGCTAGTACTTTTATAAAGTAAAAAAAAGTAATACAAATTTATTCAAATTTTGACCAATTGGCGATATTTAGGAATTGTTTGTAAAATTTTAAGTTTTATAATATTAATATTAAATATTTAAATAAAAAATAGAAAAAATATAGATTTCATATATAATTTTAATTTGTTCAATTTATAGATGGATTTGTAAAATTTTGTTTTATAAGAATCATATTAAATATTTGGATAAAAAAATTAAAAAAATTGAATCTTAAAGTTCTTTTAATAAAATTTTAAATGATTTAGTTAAAATTGATTGACTTATCTATAGGGAAATGTAAATTTCAAATTTGCTATTTATCACATGCAGATTAGCAATAATTAAGTATTAAATTTTTGCTGATTTAAATCTTTAATATGGATCAGTTTATTTATACTATTCTGTTACTTTTGATAGCCAGTTTAAACTGATTTATCAAAGTTTTAATTTATTAAGGATTTTTTATCAATAATATTGAAAACATCTTTATTATTTTCAATAAAATTAATAAAGAAAAAATATTTTGTTTGAATCTTATTACAAAAAAAATTGATAAGTTAATACATAATGCTTATTTTTTTTTTCTTATTATAAAAAAAAACTTATTTTTAAAGTTTAGTTAATATTGCAGATACTATTTGTTATCAAATAATATAAAATAAGATTTCCTGGATATTGCTCTGGTTTGGCAAAGATCTGTCCTTTTGAATTCTAAGTATTTCTTCTTTTTGAAAATAAAAGAGTTAATAAAATATTAGCTTTAAACCATTTTTTGAATTACCTACTGCAATAAGAAATTCTATATATATTGCAGGTCATAGTACCTGGGTATAATAATGACCTTGTACTACTATGTCTATAACTCAAATTTTTATTATAACGGCATTATTTAAAGGCTTGTATAATAATCAGAAAATTTATTTACATATAATTTCTGGTAAAAAAGGGGAATACTATACATGGGGGTACTATGGCCTGCCAATATTTTGGTCATGTGCAACATATATATGGAAAATCTTACCACACTACCCTGTGATGTTTTGTCACTTTGTCCCGTAATAACCTGTTTACGTTTTTTATTATGTTTCTGAGGGACAGGTTTTTTGCTAACCTGATCTCTATTTGTCACCGAATTATATGTCACCATACTACACGTTTAAAGTACTATTTATATTGTGACAGGGTAGTGTTACACTTTTACTAATAAATGGTAGGGGGTCTAAAAACATTCTCAGATTTTAACCCCTATTAAAGGTCTTGTTTCACGAACAGTCAACTGGTTTGTTGATAATTGATATTGATTTTAAATCTGGTATTACATATAAATCTGTTCATAGGTCATCCGCCATCCAGATGGATCTAACAGAAATCGGATTCGGATGACCGCTCCCGCTCAGATAAACCGAAAAAAATTCAGATAAATTGATGAAAGTAGGTTTATTATCTATTTATATAATATATTATATTATTTATTATCAAATTATTTTTTATACATAAAAAAAAAAAAAAGAAAAATATTACAAGCGAAATAGAATCTAATTAATTATAATAATAATAATAAATTTTTATATTTGATGTTAACTATTGGCCCAAATATGTTCAAGAGGAACCTTACTTAATTGACCACTAGAAACCAATTCTTTAGCTTTTTTCTCATAAATAGCCCAGGCCCTTTCTTTTTCACCACCATTATAAGCCCTCTTTAGATAAAGATCACCCTTAATAAAATCTGGTTTTACATCATAAAGTCCATTAATATATATTTTACCTAAAATATACATAGCGCTAACATATCTTTTTTTATTTGCAGCAGATGTTAATCTATTAATACCTTTCTCAATCCTTTCTTCATTACTTAAATTTGAATGTTCAAGTAAAAATTTACCGTAAACGGTTTCCCAATAACCATCATCAAGTATATAATCAGCACATGATTTATAATAATGATCAGCCAATTCATAATTTTTTAAATATTCGTAACAGAAACCCATCCAATATAATACATCGTAATCTATTGTAATTGATTGTTTCGAAATTGGTTCTAAAATTGATAAAGCTTCAGAATATTTGGATAACTTTGCGTATGACTTTGCTTTAATTATTTGCTCTTTACTATTATTAATAAAGGAGAGGAAAGAAAGAATTAGAGATTTTTTAATTAAAATAAAGATTAAAATCACGCGGTTTTGGAAAGAAAAAAACTTACTCGAAGTCTGTTACCGTAAATATAAATTCCAAAGATGGTTCATTTTGTTTTTCTGAAGTTAAATCGACTGACTTATCACCATTCTTATTATTCTTTCTTTTTATCTTACTATCAAATAAAATAAATAAATATTAAAATTACGATTATTTCAAAAAAAGAATAGTCTTTTCAGTCACAAAACAATCTAAGAATTAATAATGTACATCTGAAATAATATGTACACAATATGAAAATACTTACAAAAAAATCATCACAATGTGATAAATTGAATATTTTGATTTCTTTTTCTGTGTTCCTTTCTCCTGTTTTTCGTTCGGTAATAATATTACACTCGATAAATCCAAAGAACGTTTTGATTTTGTTGATGGCATTTTATTTAATTATTTATTAATAAAAAATGGTTGAGGGAAAAAAAATATCGAACTGAAAAAAAATCTGAAAGTTATATGTATGTATATATAGAGAGAATTCTTTTATTTATCACTTTCCAAAAGAAGGATCGAATTTTCTTTAGGAAAAAAAGGGAGAGATGATTTAAAGAATACCATATACAAATTAAAAACTAATCCTAAAATTATTCTTTTATTATTTACTTTTAGAATAAGAATTAGTTAATCATTATAAAACGATTTCTATTTTTGAATTAATTGTACTGAAAAAGGGGAAATTTTTCTTTTTTTTTGCGTCAAGATTTCATCATCCCTTAATATGGTTTTTTTTTACATATAAATTGATATAATTGGTATTTCATAGTTGCCGATTTTCTTTTTCATATAATGTATACGTAATTTGTGCTTTTTTGAATTCTTATATTTTTTTTTTAAGAAACATTCAAACAAACAATTACAATATATATAATATATTAAAAAAAGCCATTCCGTATGGTTTACGACCAGATTGGGTTGTACAAATCATTTAAATAATGAATATTTAATACAGTAATTTTATATTAAGTCTCAAATTAACTTTTATATTACTTTTATATTATGAAATGATTATAAAATCCTAAATAAAGCCCTATATATGCTGTAATTGTGTAATCAGATGACTATTTTCAAATAAAATGAAAGGTAAATGACTTGTGTAATTGCATAATTTTATGTGAAAAACTCACATATATACATACTTTATACATGCGCTATACATTTATACTAATACGAACGCTATACTGTACCTTATAATTGTTTAATGAAGAAAAAATTTTAACCACCAGATTCTTATAAAAAATTCGTATTCGTCGGAGTTTTTTTATTTTTAAAAAAAAATCGTTTTAAATGTTGATGAATATCATTTCTCCTAGTGGGATTTCAATTTCAATCGTACAAAAAAATTTAAATGCATAATGTAGATTGTGATGCCAATGCGAAAGAAAATGATACAATTATGACTAAATTAATAACAAGTTTCAAATCAGGTTTAAACCAACTAAAAATTTTTTTAACGATGCGGCTTAAACAAAAAAAGCAAATTTAAAATATCTCTGATTGCATATTCAAAGTTCATAAATTCTCCGAATGGTTGTCATATATTATATTAAATTGGGATAATAATTTCAGTCCAGAAAAATCAAGTTTCTTAATTAAAAAATTTTTTTAGAAATTTCGAATTTTTTCACGAAATAATGATAGAATTTATCTCACAATGGCGTTCTTCATGCATATATCTTTAATCTTTTATTTTTTGCCTCATTTATCGGCCCCAAATTTTAATATTTCTAATTATGGTGCCTGTGGCAAAATCGTACGTAGGCTTAATTTAATCTTATGCATTTCTATGTACGATTACGAATCTTTAATTTATCACGTGTAATGTCAAATAAATTAAACTGCACGTGACCATCAGTTGGTTTTATTTTGATGGATTTTTTTTTTTTAAAATAAAAAATAAATATGTATATTAATATATACAGAAGTTTTTCCTTTTCCTTTTCCTTTCCTTTTCTTTTTAAAGATGTGATTTACTCAATTCTCGGTCTTTTATGCTGTATACCTTCTCTTGGATCACGATTGTCTGGTCGAATTAATCCATTTAATCCAGCTGTAAAATCAAAATTAACTAATTCTCCTTCTTCGGAAGGTCTATCCAAATCTGTATGTGGTGGTCGATTAAAATCCCATTCGCCTCTATCACGATCCCTATCACGATCCCTATCTCTATTATCCCTACCTCTATCCCAATCTCTACCTCTATTTCGTGGTTGATTACGTCCACCTCCTCCTCCGCCTGCACGTTTATTGCCATCTTGATTTCTAGGTCTACCATTATCACGATCTTGACGTCCTTCTTGATCTCGCCAACTATCCCGTCTTGGAAATTTAGAATTACGTCTTTGTGGAGGTCGCGGTCGATCATTTTGTTGTAACATAGTTTGAGGTGATAGTGGTAATGGTGGTCTTGGTGACCTGGAATCATATTGTAACATAAATTGTTCATTTCCTCCACCATTACTACCGTATCTTAATTGTCGTTCTCTCTGTGAAAATTGTATGTTGTTATATATCCCATCATCTTCATTCTTCTTTGAAGAGTCTTCTTGTTTTATTGATACCTGAAAATCTTGCTTTATATTATTCGGCAGGAATCCCCCAGATTGCATTGAATCTAATACGTATGGTTGTGGTGGTCGTTCGTATGGTCTGAATGTTTCCAAATCTATCAACTTTTTTTCATCATTCATTGGAACCTGGAAAAGGAGGACGTGAGTTAACTTTTCTTGTGACGAGACCGTAAGTGTTTTTTAAAAGATACTAGCTATACATTTAATACTTACATATGTGTTGGGATTCTTTTCATCCTGTATCCACGTGTAACTGCTCAAATTTGGCTCTTCATCCTCTTTATAATACATTGTATCCCTTAAAGAAGAAAAAAAAAAGTAGAAAAAAAATATATATATAATAATACGTTAATTAAAAATTATAGATAAAAGAAAAAGAAAAAAAGAAAAAATTTTTTCCGTACCAATCAATAATCTTTATCTTTCCAAAATTCTTATTGACCGTTAATTCTAGAGACTCTTCATGTACTCTGGTTTCACTATTCATATATTCATAAATAAATCGAATTGGTTATAAATTAAAGAATTTTTTTTTTTTTAATAAATTAATAGATTAATAATTACCCAAGAGTGATTTGTACAATATCTCCACCTTGATAATACTGTCCATTTTCCCAAATCACCAAAGTACAAACAGCGGTTTCATCTGCAACAAGGAAACTATGAAGTTCCACTTCTTGCTGAGTTTTTAACGTGCGACGTGATACTAGATTTAATAAACGAAAAAGGAAAGGTTAATCTGAAAATAAATAAAATAAAATAACAAATCTAAATAAGATTCTATATGCTTACAATGTTGAAGTATGATACATGTTATATCAAAACCACGTATCCATGGCCTTAATTCTCTTATTTTTAGTACACCGTTTCTTTGGATAGGAATTGGTTTTTGAATAATGGAATTATTATTTCCATATCTCTGCTGTATAATTGGTGGTGGTGCCGATGCGCTTGTTTCGATTAAAGAATTAACCGACATGACGTATCTATCTTAAAAATTATTTTTTGGAGATCTGCAAAAAAAATTATGGTAAATGGAAGGGTCTATTTATAAGAATTTTTTGATGATTGTGTAACAAATTTATTGTTTGTTGATCGACAGTGATTGGCTGAAATCATTACTAATCCGTTTTGTGTAGCATAGCTCGATCAATTGCATAATTTTTCCCAAATAACACAAAATTTACCGATACAATAAGTTTCTGCAAAAACAGTTAAAAGATAGTTTACAAAAACAATAATAATCTCTTTATTTGTTGACTAACTAACCGCATATATACAGGTTTAAATTAATACATAAATTTAAAAATTCTTATTTTTAATTTTTTTTAATTTTTTTTTTTTTAAAAAAAAAAAAATTTAATGCTTTACTTTTCTTTCTTTTTTTTTTATTTTATGCAATTTATCTTACACACAATGCATTTATAAATTTGCATATGAAATTTTCCGTAAATTGCCCTAAAATGCTTAGGAGTTAGGATTCTAAATTCGAAAATTGGAACATAACTTTAATAAATTAATTTCATTTCATAAATTCAATTTAATAAAAATTTTAATTGCTTACCTATATAAAAAAAAAAAATATTATAATACATATTTAACCGAGGAAGCTATCTAATCCTTCATATAAAGCATTTGAATGAATAGAATTAATAAATTCGTCAATATGCTTCCTTTTATGTCTTTGTAAACTACTTGCGGTAGTAAATGCTTTTGTACATCCTAGTTCATCACATAGATAAGGTTTTTCTCCTGTATGAGACCTCTCATGATCCCTTAAATGACCCGAATGAGTAAATTTTCTCCCACATTCGGGAAAACTACAAACCATTAATTTATTTCCGGTATGTAATCTCTGATGAGTTCTTAAATCATTCATTCTACTAAAAGTTCTGCCGCATCTTGGTTCTTCACATTTCCATGGTTTCTCATCTAAATGTGTGTATTTATGAGTTTGTAAACTTTTGATTGTTGCGAATGCTTTATTACATCCAACTTCATCACAAGCATAAATTTTCTCCAAATTATGATTTTTCTTGTGTCTGAATAAAACATCCGACCTTTTAAATGTTTTACCACATCCAGGCAAATCACAAACGAACGGTTTATCCTCAGAATGTGTACTCTTATGTTTTTTTAAATTTCCCAATAAAGCAAATGCTTTATTACATCCATCTACTTCACAAACGAATGGTTTCTCATCTGAATGAGTACGTTCGTGAATTTGTAAATTACCTAATTGACTAAATTTCTTGCCACATTCTTTACAATCATAAGGCCTTTCTCCTGTATGAACTCTACGATGATTTTGTAAATGGCTCATTTTAGAAAACTTCTTGTTACACTCAGCAAATTCACATTTGAAATACAATTCTCCCGTATGTTTACGCTTATGAGTTTTTAAATCGTCAAGACGCTTGAATGCTTTGTTACATCCAGGTTCATTACATTCATAAGGTTTATCCTCTGAATGAATACATTTATGAACTTGTAAACTACTTGATGTATAAAATGATTTTTCACATCCGGGTTCATCACAAACATAAGGTCTTTCTCCATTATGACTTCTTTCATGTACTTTTAATCCGTGTAAAGTAGCATAAGACTTTTCGCATCCATCTTCATTGCATTTAAATGGCCTTTCACCAGTATGTGAACGTTGATGAATCACTAAATTATTTTCTGTACTAAATGATTTATCGCATCCAGGTTCATCACATACGTAAGGTTTCTCTCCATGATAATTTCGCTCATGTGCTTTTAACCCATGTAACGTAGTATAAGTCTTTGTACATCCATCTTCATTGCATTTAAATGGCCTTTCAGTATGTGAACGTTGATGAGTTGCTAAATTATCTTCTGTATCAGATGATTTATCACATTCAGGTTCATCGCACCTATGTTCCTTATTAGATATATTAAAATTATTATGAGTGTTTTTTATTCTTTTTGCAGGATGATTGAACTCAGGTTTATTTTCATCAATTTCTTGTTCTTCATCTTCATCCATTGTATTTAACGTATCCATTGTATCTTCTTGAGTTTCCATTTCTCTTACAGTAATATCCGAAATATTATCATCATAATCTTCAATACGATCTATTTCCATATCTTCAGTTAAATAATTAGGCAAATTCATTTTTCTATTCACCAAATCATCAATCTTTTGTAACGTGTTTTGTAATTTTTCTTCTTCATTTTCAGCTTGCAAGGTTTGTTCTAATCTTAAGAGAGGTCTTGTGATAAATGTTGGATAAACGTCAAAATTTTCAGCATTTTCGGCGAAATTAATATGATTAACTTCATTTTTATTTCTTAGGAGTCTATTTTCTGAGGATGAAAAATCTTGAGAAGAATTAAAAGTATTATCTGAATTAATGATGTTACTAACAAACGAATCAATCTGACCTAATAAATTCAATCCTGAAAAATTTTTTTCATCATCAATTATACGATTTTTTTCTTTAGATGAACTATCTAACCGATTCATTATACTATCTCTAGAATTATTTGTATTTGGAACATTATCAGAACCTTTTCTTTTATTATTTTCAAGAGAATAACCTGAGATATTAATATTAGAACCTATCGAAGTATGAACTATATTTTTATTCCTCGAACGACCACCTTTTTTTTTTATTGTTTTTTTTAAAAAAAAAAAA